TGGCCCATAACACTTCAGCCATAACAATGAAAATGAAAATAAAAAATAATCATATAATATAGTTGAGCATACGCAGCACCGAGCAAATTGAGACAAGCACGGCAGACTCACAGGAGCCACTACGATGATATTTTTGCCATTGTTTGAAGCCAGCTGTGTGGCGAGGGGAAACGCAACAGTTGACTTTTATGCACGACATGACGCAGCGCGGCTTTATGCCCCCACTCGGTTTACTTTTCCGTTTTTCCCCTGCATAATTCCAAACTGATATGCATTGCAGTTGAGCTGGCGCACAACGCGGCGTATGAGTAATACCCGTAACAATGCCCACAATTGTCAGTGTTCGGGGCAGAGGACACCAGGTGAGCGAGTGGGGTCGCACGGTTGTCACTGCGGTTGGTACAAAAAATGTAACAGGTACTGAGATTTCAAGAAATAAAAGGCTCATTAAGATGTCCCTTTTAGAATGTATACTAAGACCACACGCAAATTTTTTCAATTACATATTTATGTGTAATTTAGTCTTACAAATATTGTAAGCATAAATAGTTTATAGATTATATTATATTTTAAATAAAATAATACTAAACTGTTAAAGTTATCAAAACGGAAATTTTAATCTTATTCATTAAAGAATTCAAAGTAATAACAAAATACAAATTTTTAACAGCCCTGCCAAATAATGCAAAACCATTACTTTTTCCAAATAATCACACAAACAACAAATAAATTCATTGTCTAGACTGCCCACAATTGTTGTGTAAGTCGTAACATTGTTTTAGCCACAGCCACAGTATATCATTTCGCATGTGGCATGGAATATTAGCGGTGGTTTTTCCAACATTTTCACACATTTTCATTTCTGAACAAATTACGTACATTATTGCGGAACAAAAGTGAAAAGCATCACGGCAAAAGCGACAATAGCCGAACCCTTTTCGCTGGGGGATTTTCGAGAGGGGGCTTTTTGGGGTTTCGGCATTATGAAAATGCTTTAAGCAGAAAATTGGATTTTTTCATCTTGAATGGAAAACAAAACAACGAAAAAACGAGGCGAGGTAATAACAGTAAAGCCCCCCGGTAGCTACAAAAAATAATAAGTATTAAACATCACCCGAAAGAGCGGCGGAATAAAAAATAAATGTTAGATATGCTGACAAAGGTAATACAATAAATACGAAATGACGTTGCTGCCACGGCTGCTGTTAATGTTAAATTTTACGTAGCATACTTTTGGGAACCCTTGGGGGGGATGGGCGAAGGGGGCGTGGCAGGTCGAGGTGAGCTCTCTTTTTGGTAGTTCGTAATCGTGCTGATTGTTCGTTTTCGTTTGGATACTTTAATTTCATTTGAGCCCATTCTTATTTATTTAGCATTAGTTTTTATTTTACGAGCCATAAAGCGGCAACACTTATACACTTGCCAGCATAGTTGACTGCTGCAAGCAAAAATGATAACAAAGCGGAAACAGGCCAAGCATAAGGCAAACAAAATTACAACTAACTTAAACTGTTAATTGAATTTTATTCAGTTTTTATAGTACAGCATAAATCAAGGGCACACAGTGCCTAATTGTTTAATCAAGAGTGAAAAAACGATAAACCCGAGCCATAAAAGATAACCCACTGATAAGCAGCCGTCTTACGAAGTACTGACTCACTAGCCCAGTATACATACGAAATTTCATTCCAGGCATGTGTTTACCCACAATAAAGCCCGACCAAAAATCACTAAAGATAACGAGCTGGCTGTTGCCACTGGAACTGCAATTGCAACGGCCAATCGGCACATAAAACGGGGCAGATTTGCACTTTTCGTTCGTAAACACATCAGAATCCAATTGGCTGCACGTTTGTGCAGACCGCACCAAAAAGCTCTTACACCGCAGGCCATTTTGTTGCAACTCGTACATATTGGCATTAAACTAATCCAGAGTACCGCACGCAACAACTTACTTATTGGCCATGCCAGAAACCAGTCATCAGAAGTACCGAAAAATACTGGAGAAATGGACCACTGACAAAAAGGGACCTCTTTTTGGTTTTAGAAAATATCACATCGTAAACTTAAAATAGTATGTTAAAAGTTTCTTAAGGGGGATATGTATATGTATATACATATGGATAACATAACCCTTATTTTTCCTTCAAAATCTTATATTTTCTTAAAATATTTTTAAAACTGCCGTTTGCTGTATCAAGCTAACATAGTGAAACAAATGTTGTATTATCGAGTACGTAATAATTTAAAGCCATAAACGGCTTTTGCGACTCTTAGCTGCAAATTCTAGAATAAGAATGCAACTGAGAAAAGTCATTTTTTAGTGATTTACAAATGCATTTTTAAGTATAACAAATATTTATATTCAGATAATATATTAATAATTTATATGAAAGTACGCATGAATCTGTTAATTAACTAAACATGTGGAAATTTATCAATTTCCAAAACAAAATTACCTTTTCTTCCCCAATCGTATCTGGTGTAATTAACAAATTTACCAATAAGAACTAGTGTATAGAGTGTATAAATTTTTAAATGCATTGGTATTAATCTTGGCTTAACATAGTAAGTTTCCTTTCATGTTTCTTACAGTGTGCTCCTGCTTCCGTGTTAACTGCGTTTTTTGGCGCAGAGCAGACGGAATGGTGACGCCCATTAGTCGACAGTGTGAGTCCAACACATGGCCCCCCGTCCATACCCCATTTAATGTGCAACAGCGAAAAGTTGAACGTGCTGGCAGCTAAATTCCTTTTTCATCCTCTCTCCTCGGCAACAAACACACTCACACACACTCGCTAACTGACGGCCATTATCAGCATCATTATGTGGCATTAGGAGCCGCGCCACGAGGATGATGATGTTGTTGCAGCTTAAAGTTGTATGCGATTTATTTGCGGTCCCCGTCCGTTTTCCTCTCCTTTCCATGTGTGCGTGTGTGAAAAAGTGCATTTGAGCTCATTTAAATAGCATAAATTAAGATGCTTAAGCTCATTAGGTGGAATTTTTTAATTAGCAAAACTGGACCGAACCCTTGTAATGACCACCGAACGGCAGGTGGTCTCTTATCATCCGCGGACCAAACAAAACGCAGCTTATCAGTCAAGTGTAGCCGAAAATTATACTAATTACACAGTTAATGCAGTTCCCATGAATCTGCGTCATCTATGAGAAAGATAATAATAAATGACGTTCGTAGCTTATCATAGTTTTTCACAACAATGTAATAAATCCCAATTTATAGAAGACAACTTTATTTTTAATAGAAGTGGACCTAGAACTTAGCCTTTTAGTTTCATAAAAGATCAGTAACTTTTACGTAGTAATTTTCAATATGAATATTTTAGATGGCTTGGCTCGATTCGCCTGGTGATGCTGATCGAGAATATATATTCTTTATAGGGTCGGAAATGTGCCCTTCACTGCTCTGCAAAATTTTGATTGAAATTATAAGACCATCTGCAAAGGCATACAAATTATGTAAAACGTAATACCAAATTAACAACGATTTAATTTCATATATATATTTACTGCTTTTGCTGGTATGATAAAAATGTTTATTTATAATAATTTATTACACATTTACTACACATTTGTAGTTTCTAAACATAAATGTAAGTACAAATTGCCTTTAAGTTCTCAGTTTTATTTTGTAAAATGTCCATTGCTTGGCAATAGTTAAATATCAGAGATTTATGGGACACTATTTGGAGAGTGAATTTGCGAATAAATTCTAATGAATCATGTGCTCCGGTAATCAAACGTTGCCATACCAACCGGAGCACGTGACTCACGATAGGACCGGCGTACTCAAGACTGTTTCCATAGAACGCGGCTGATAAACAAAGCACTTGACTCTGGGGCTAATACCAATTGAGCAGACATAAGGCTGCCAGGCCGCCTTCCCTTCACACGTCTTGGCAGAAATCTTTCAGTAATCCCCGCGTATTACACAGGTGGGTCGGTTGCTTTGGGTTGTGCCACTCTCAGCAGGAGATAAGCGGGTTAAAACCAGGCAAAATTATTGGAGTTGGCACTGTAGAGGTGTAAGTCCCTGGAAAGGACTGTACATTAAGCTTAAAGCTATTTTTAAAGTGTGCCATAAATTTAGAAATCGAATAAAAAAAATGTTTTTCAAAATATTTCTATAATTTGAATATACTTTTTGAGATCCATTGAGATTTATCCGTTGATAAATTGTTTGATACATTGCATTAAGTTTGGATATAGCTCTTGTTTATTATTTCAGGAAACTTTAATTTTTTCTTACCATGCCAATTTCGTAAAGTATTTCAAATTAAAATTTTTTTTTTTAAATACTAAATATGTGTGTTATAATTTTAAAGTTTTAAAATTTTTATTAAAATGAAAAAACCTCTATATTTGTTATTGGAACTAGTCCAGTACATAACAATAAGAAATATAATTAATGGAAATGGATTTTCCCTTAAAAATCTTAATTGAGCTTATTTTTCCACTTTTATGACTTTAATATCTTATTTGACCAACGCGGCTATCACCTTATGTATGACTGCCAATCCAATTCCGCGATGATTGATTGATCACTCCGTCCATCACTTGGTAATGGGTCCCTAATAAACTCTGCAGCAGTGGCATTGCGATATCAGCGGGTGTCACATTGTTGCAACACAGGGGACCCGCCCGAATAGTGTCAATCAGGTAATGGAATTGTGTGGCGTTGGCCAACTCGTGCTTACACTCAATCATTGATAAAGCCGCGAAGAATGGCCACAAGAAAAGTGACCAGTAATCGGGGAGTGGACGGCAATAATTGTGTTTCGGCTACTCGCCGATTACGATTACCTTCTCTGACCGGCGATAAGCTGTTGGCCTGTTCTGCGGGCCACAATCGCAAAGTGGCTCCGAGCGTGTGATAAAAAGTGTGGGCACAAAGATTATGGCCGCTCTCCCATGGCATTTAGCCGCGTTTTGGCGAGAGTATGGGTGCGTTGTTTAGATTAGCCCGGTCTAATTGGCCATAGAGCTCCACAGGTCTTAGGCGATCGCACAGTTCTTTCTGCGCCGCTGAGGTGGCAGGTCGCGAAAAAAATAGCAAACCCTCAATAATACATTTTTGGTGCTGCAGTGTAAGTGTCGTGATTGAAATCAAAAGTATCCTTAAATAGTTTTGAAGGACTAAAATGTGTATGATACCATAATTTGTTTTCAAACCACTTGTGAATATTTCATGGCTATTTTGAGACCCATATGCCACGTTGGCAATCATGCTGCTAATGCGCGTGTTAGCTAAATTATTATTAGCTCCCTTAGGGTTAACAACGCGAGGTTATCAGTGTTGGCATAGATAAGCTCTGAATGGCCATAAATTAAATGTTCCGCTTGTTAGGCAAAGTTTTAAAAAAAACACTCCTCACAAAATTATTCAAAATTGCATTAGACTTAATGGTAATTTGTTTAACGATAACGTATCTTAATTGGTTTCTGATAATCACTCGCTAACATTAAACATCGATTTTCATTTGCCTGACACTAATAAGGAGCTATTAATGTTTTATTTCCACTATATGGCGCCATGATTGCCCAGTGACGTCAGAGCACGTGATGGATCATGTGGGGCGAGCAAATTGAACCACTCAAACGTCAAGTTGAAATTTGCCACACAACCGATTGCGTTGTCGATAATATTTTTACGGCCCACGAACGGATTTCTTAATGAGCCCCGTAACGCCGCCTGCAATCCAATGCACAATCCCCAGTGAAGCCATGATTACGGGCATAAACCAGCGGGAACTACAACTGGGAATGGGAATGGGAATCGGCATTTGCTATCCGATAATCAGACATTTGCGTGAAGTTTTGCCCCCTAAAGATTTATGGCCAACTTAAAGACAATTGTCTGGTCTGTGCAGATTTATGGCTAGGACTGATGTACAAAACTGAATCCGATAAGTTCGTGCCTGCACTGATTTATCCAACGATGCCATCGGCAAAGTCCAACGAGCTGCACTTAATCAATTATATGAACCGTTTGTGGGAATTGCAGGGTCTCTGACTCTTAGTAAATATGAGTTCAACAATCCAGGTTGATGCTTTGGTACAATTTACCAACTAAATTTAAATAAAATTAACATAAATTTTATTTAAAACTGCTGTAAGATTTTGACCCTTGATTTTCTGAACACTATGTTCTACTTACAAATTAACCTCAGTATTTTACATGCATTCCTATTTATTTAACTTATTTTAATTGTATAGTTTCATTGAATCATGCTCCTTCTAAAAAGATACTCTAACTGTGTTTCTTCAAAGTTGAGAAAAGAATAAAATGATCAAAAATTTATTTCATTTTGACATTGTAAAGTAACTTTTATTTAAAGTTTAATGTTTCTAATGAAGAATTTGTTTAATTCAGTCGAAGCTTTTAAACTTAGATTTCGAACATTTTTATCAGTCACTCTTACTAATCACTTTCTATTTTTAAGTAAATAAAATTATTTTTAATTTACTTAGAAAGTTTTCAGAGATTATAAACTGAAGGACCCAATACATTTTCGTAACCAGGCACTCCAATTAATCTAAATTTGATTGGCAGCGTTACATAATTCCCAACAGACTTTTCCTTCACAAATTCATTTATGGAGCAATTAAGAAATCAACAAGCATTCCATTCAATTCCACAATTCCGACAATATATGAAACTCACTTCCCGCCGCTGTAAATCAAATCTCTGCTATCAGTGACAAGCCGAAACTATCAAAAAATAACTGAAGTGAGGCCACAGACTGCGCGTCTTTTTATCAGCCAGTCGAGAGCGAGAGTCAATCATGGGTTTATGGCCAGACAGGCGGAAAATCACGGCCAGGCAGTGGTCTAACCAATAAATATCTGCAATCTGGCATGCCCAAAACGGTTATCAGAAGACACTGCACAGGTCCTGTGCGGGCAATAAGCGTATAATGCAATAAACGACTTTCGGGGCTTATTTATAAACCAAGTGATTGCCGGTAATTGTTAATAATTTCAAATTATTAATGCGCTCAACGCCCACTCCAGATAGGCCCGAATGCCAGTAGATAACAGGCGAAACGATCTCGATAGACACGGCGACCCCTAATCTAATCTGCTCGTTTCGGCTCTGTTTTGTTCTGAATTGTTGAGTTCCACTTAGATGATTGATTGCGACATTGGCAGGGACTGCATTGAAGTGGACCGACCATAAACAACGTGCGTCAGTTGGATCAACAATGTTCAAACCCTTTGACAGACGCAGACCCATTAAAGTTCGTCAAAACAACTCATTAACCTAAATAAGTAATAAAGTGGGCCATGCAGTGGGACAAAAAAAGGGTTTCAATAATAAAAAGTTTATTAATATATTTATTTTTAATTAAATAAATCATTAAAAAAATTTGCTGCTCCCATTTATAATATTTTATTTAAAAGCTATACATTGTTAAGTTTCTGTCTAAAAGGTTATTTAGCCTCAACCAATTTTTAGGTTCTGAATCATAATTACAACTTGTGATAAACTAATTTTATGGGTAATAACCTTTTTATCAAATTTCACATGTATTTCTTGGTAATAAAAATGTTTAATTTAGGTTGAAAGGTACACTTTTATCTGCAAATAAGTTAGTCATGTAAGCAAATGAGTTAAGAATGTAAGCAAAGAATTTCAGTAAATATTTAATATTTGTTAAAACAAGATAAAAATAACCAATACAAATATGGAATTTCAAAAGATATACCCGTAGACAAAATAAACTTTTTGTTGAAAGTTTTTTTTTTTTTTACCGATTCTAAAAAAAATATATAACATTTTGTTAATTAACTTAAAACCTTTTATGTGATTATGCAATATCCCAATCTCAGTTATAAAACAACTCTAAAACTTCAAACGGTGAAAAAGAAAAATAAAAAAAAATAATTATATTAAAATATTCTAATTTTCGAATCTTCTTTAATCTTTTTTTTGCAGTAATAGACCCTCGATTAGAACATGGGTGATATGTTCCGCAGCGAGCAGATGGCCCTGTGCCAGCTGTTCATCCAGCCGGAGGCGGCATACGCCTCCATCGCCGAGCTGGGCGAAAGTGGATGTGTCCAGTTCCGCGATCTCAACGACGAGGTTAGTGCCTTCCAGCGGAAGTACGTCACCGAGGTGAGGCGATGCGACGACATGGAGCGCCGTCTCCGCTACGTGGAGTCCGAGATGAAGAAGGACGAGGTGAAGCTGCCGACACTGCGGCCGGAGGAGGAGCCGAGTGCCCCTAATCCTCGCGAGGCCGTCGACCTGGACGCTCAGCTGGAGAAGACCGACAACGAGCTGCGCGAGATGTCCGCCAATGGAGCCAGTCTGCAAGCCAACTTCCGGCACATGCAGGAACTCAAGAGCGTGCTGGAGAACACCGAGGGTTTCTTCTCCGACCAGGAGGTCATCAACCTGGACTCCAACCGAAAGCTGGACCCTGAGGATCCGGCCCAGGCGCAGGGAGCCGCCCAAAGGGGTCAGCTGGCCTTCGTGGCTGGTGTCATCAAGCTGGAGAGATTCTTCAGTTTCGAGCGTATGTTGTGGCGCATTTCCAGGGGAAATATCTTCCTGCGGAGGAGCGACATCGATGGCCTGGTGGACGACGAGGAGACCGGAAGACCAGTGCTGAAGACCGTGTTCGTGGCGTTCTTCCAGGGCGAGCAGCTGAAGCAGAGGGTCAAGAAGGTCTGCACGGGCTACCACGCCTCAGTTTATCCGTGTCCCAGCTCGCATGCCGAGCGAATGGATATGATCAAGGATGTGAATGTCCGTCTGGAGGACCTTAAGTTGGTCCTCAGCCAGAGTGCCGACCATCGCAGCCGAGTCCTGAATTCAGCATCCAAGCATCTGCCACGCTGGTCGATTATGGTGCGCAAAATGAAGGCCATCTACCACATCCTGAACTTCTTCAATCCCGATGTGACGGGCAAGTGTCTGATTGGCGAGGGTTGGGTGCCCACCAATGACATTCCCACGGTCCAGGATGCCCTGGCTCGAGCCTCGAAGACATCGGAGAGCTCCATTCCGGCGTTCATGAATGTCATCGAGACGAATGAGATGCCTCCGACGTACACGAGAACCAATAAGTTCACCAATGGATTCCAGAACCTGGTGGATTCGTATGGCATGGCCTCGTATAGGGAAGTGAATCCAGCCCTTTACGCCTGCATCACATTCCCCTTCCTGTTCGCCGTGATGTTCGGCGATCTGGGACACGGCCTGATCCTGCTGCTCTTCGCCTCCTGGCTGATTATCAAGGAAAAGCAACTGGCCTCGATCAAGGAGGAGATCTTCAACATCTTCTTCGGCGGGCGATACATCATCTTCCTGATGGGCATCTTCTCCATTTACACTGGCTTCATCTACAACGACGTGTTCTCCAAGTCGATGAACATTTTCGGCTCCGCTTGGCACATGAATTACACCAGGGAAACGATCGAGGATTCCACTCTGAAGTCCATAACTCTGAGGCCCAACGACACGGTCTACAAGACATACCCCTTCGGCATGGATCCCATTTGGCAGTTGGCCGACAACAAGATCATCTTCCTGAACACCTTCAAAATGAAGCTGTCGATCATTGTGGGCGTGGTCCACATGATCTTCGGAGTCACCATGTCAGTGGTTAACTTTGCCTACTATAAGAAGTACGCCAGTATCTTCCTGGAGTTCCTTCCCCAAGTTCTGTTCCTCCTGCTGCTGTTCGGCTACATGGTCTTCATGATGTTCTTCAAGTGGGTCACCTACAACGACACGGTCGAAGGACCTCTTTCGCCGGCTTGTGCTCCGTCCATCCTGATCCTGTTCATCAACATGATACTGCAAGGAAGCCAGGACACACCAGAGCCCTGCAAGGAGTTCATGTTCGAGGGCCAGAAGTCCATTCAGCAGGTGTTCGTCATTATTGCGATTATCTGCATTCCCTGGATGCTCCTGGGCAAGCCCCTCTACATCATGTTCAAGCGCAGGATGAGCGGAGCTCCGCCCCCAAAACCCCAGAGCGGCGGAGGCGAAGGTCACGGCGATGACGAGGCCATGGGCGAGATCTTCATCCACCAGGCCATCCACACCATCGAGTACGTCCTGAGTACGGTCTCCCACACGGCCTCCTATCTCCGATTGTGGGCCTTGTCCCTGGCTCATGCACGTAAGTTTAATTACCTTATTATTATATATAATGTTGTATATACTTTTAAATAAATTTATAGTATTTTTTGTTTATAACAATTAAATATTTCGACATTTTAATATACCAAAGCTACGGAAAGCAGACTTAAATTTCCTTTAAACTTTGTTCCAGACTTAAATTTCCTTTAAACTTTGTTCCGTTCCTGCATAAATTACCATATTAAATTTGTCATCCAAACTTTTTGCAAGACTAATAAATTTTATTTTTTATTTAGAAAATTCAATATATACAAAAAAGATAAGAGCTCAATTCAAAAGAAGTTTTAAATTAAATTATACATTTTTCAACTATTTATACCCGTTACTCGTAGAGTAAAAGGGTATACTGTATTCGTGCAAAAGTATGTAACAGCTAGAAGGAAGCGTTTCCGACCCTATAAAGTATATATATTCTTGATCAGGATCACTAGCCGAGTCGATCTAGCCATGTCCGTCTGTCCGTCTGTCTGTCCGTCTGTCCGTCTGTCTGTCCGTATGAACGCTGAGATCTCGGAAACTATAAAAGCTAGAAGATTGGCATTTTGCAAGCAGATTCTAGGAGTTCTTACGCAGCGCAAGTTTGTTTCAAAATGGTGCCACGCCCCCTTTAACGCCCACAATCGCTTATATAAGATTTTAAAAATTTAAATATTTCGGAAAAGTAAAAATGCAGTTTTATTGTGTTTATCAATACCTATCGAAATGTAGAAGAAATTTTTCAAATCGGACCATTCGTTAAAAAGTTATGCGTGATCAAAGTTTCTATCTCCATCTCCCTCGCACTCCCTTTACCTGAGTAACGGGTATCTGATAGTCGGGTCACCCGACTATAGCGTTTTCTCTTGTTAATATTTAAATTCGTCATTCGAAATAATAACTTCTTCCAAACTTAATAAATTCCATCAGGGAATTCCACATAGACAAAAAATAAATTTTATTAATTTACTTTGGAGTATATAAATTTAAGTCACGCCTATTTGGCACGCAAAGGTTAGGGAAATTCCAAGCAGTAATAAAGCGTTTATCATTTACGATTTGACGCTAATTGTCACCAATTTATAAATTGCGCATTGTAAATATTGTTAAGTGAAAAAAAATCCAAAAAATAACACACGCTAAGGTTATAAATATAATTGTCATCAAAAATACCTGAGAAATATATTTGAATTTCCCCTTTGCAGAGCTCTCCGAAGTGCTGTGGAACATGGTGTTTTCCATGGGCTTCAATTACGACAACTACATTGGTGGCATTCTCATCTATGTGTTCTTCGGGGCCTGGGCGCTGCTCACAGTGGGCATCCTGGTGCTCATCGAAGGACTCTCGGCCTTCCTGCACACGTTGCGCTTGCATTGGTGAGATTGGATTAATTACAGCAGTTTGTGAGGCAGAGTCTAACCCGGCCACTCTCTTTTCAGGGTGGAGTTCATGAGCAAGTTCTACGAGGGCGCTGGTTACGCCTTTGAGCCCTTCGCCTTTAAGACCATCCTGGATGCCACCGAGGACGAATAGAGAGGCTTGGCTGAGGAGAGAGTGAGAGAGCGCAGGACGCACTTCCTTAAAGCATTTTCCGTTTATTTCGTTCAGCTTCTTTCGTTTTTTCACGGAAAAATAAATTTCGTTTGATATGCATACAGAGTACTAGTGTTTCTATTTTTCCGGCTCATATCTAGATTTGTCAGCCGACGACAAATGTTTGTGATATGCTTTCTGACAGTTTTCCTTTGGTCACCCAAGTGACAACTGCAGACAACCTCTGGAGCACATATTCCCATATGAACTGCACATTTTCGGAACAATCTCAAAGCAAAGCTCAAAGCAAAGCAAAGCTTGATATCCTCAAAAGAAAGACTGCTCTGGTATGTGAGTGTGCGATTTTTTCTCATTAGAAAAGTTGTCATGTGCTGAAATTATGTTGTCAGTTCGACTGTCCATTGGGCATTGAGTTGTGAAATTGCACACTGGGCAATTTAAATAATAATAGTGTGACACAACGCATCAACCTAAGGCAAGTATTGAAGTATTGCCCCAAAGTATCTCTGTCAATTGCTGCAAGGCAGTAAGTGAACAAAGACTTGATGGAAAATAAACACCCAATTTATTGCCCTGCTACTGTTGCCAACAGTAAAAAGGTTGCCTAAACCATTGCAAAGCACTGCAAATTATTTAAGGAAATACACAAAAACAGAAATAGCAGAAAGCGCATTTATTTTTAGCAGTCAACATACAACCTCTTAAGTTAAAATAAATTTGTTTTTAATACCTTAAAAATCATATTGTTATGTTAGTTATAAATAAGTCAACTAGCCCATGATAATAAACATAAAAACACCTCTAAAACTCTGACCCAATAAATGAAAAATCTTTTGAACCTATCGTGTTCAATGGAAACTTGCTTGCTATAAAACTGTTAAATGGCGCGAAATTCTTTTCAATTTCAATTCGGAGCGTTAGCCTTTGGTTCTTTGGGTTCCTGCAACCCTTTGCCTACTGGTGTTGTTTTTGCTGCTGGTCTGCCCTCGACGAGTTTCCCAATATTTGCATTCGAACTCAATTGGTTGCGTTTTGTGTTTATTGCCTTTTGCTTGCTGCCAAAATTGGATGTGTTCTCGTGTGTATCTTTTTGGGTTTTCGTTGTCGTTGTCGCCACCATTGCCCTTGTGCTAAAAATATTTTCGCGAGCAGCGGGGTGTTGACATCTAGGCAATGGCAATGGGCAATGGGCACTGGACAATGGGCAGGTGCGTCGGCGGAGGACAGGTGATCCAGGCAAAACACACGCAATGCAAATAGGAATTCAAACAGGCTGCCAAACGTTTTGAACCCGCATGTCAAATGCTATTTTCCGAACAACCAAACAACAGAGGCAAATACCCTTGGCTCTCAAATCTTGTGACCAAATTGTGAAACTTTACAGTTTTTAAAACTGTTAATTACTCTCAATATAACAATAGCCCTTTTATACTGTTGAGACTTGCGGGTATTAATTCTATCATTCAATATATCATTTAAACATAATAAAAGTTGTATGTGTTCTAAAAAACAATATTTACGACAATACAGAAATAGACTAAAACTATTAATTTAACTTAATCAAAATAAATTTACTTTGCGTTAGATACAACTTAAAAGATACTCGAATAGAACAAATTAAAATATAAAGCTTGCCATAAAAATTTAAGGCTGTGTAAAATGATATTTCCAAAAATTCTTACTCTGAACAGTATCCAATTATTTCAGGAAAGAAATTGACACTAAAACTTAAAACATTTTGTGACAATGACCGATTTTTCAAACCAGTAGACTGAAAATATTTGGCGATTTCAGCGACCAACCAGATAGAGAACACCACAAAAAAAATATCGACTATCTGCCACCCAGCGGTTGGTAGCGAGTTCTGGCCTAGAGACGTAGATGGTTTAGTCGTGTTTGTGCAGCTGTCATTCTGGCCAAGTTTCGTGCTGCCATTGCTTCTGTTGCTCTAGTTGTGGAAACAGAACATATCGCATTACGTATACGCCGCGTATCGGCATAGACATCAGCATCATCGACAGCATCGGAAATAAATGCCCCGGAACAACAACGACGGCAGTGGCTGCAATGGAGGCGATCGGCATATAAATATGGCTACAAAATACATTAAACAAATAAATGTTTGTGCATGCATAGACAGTTGGACTGTGTGGCAGGCGGTCGTAAATTATGTGTGCTGGCCTAATGCATTTGGCCTCGTATTAATCAATGTTTGTGCTGGTTTCTGTGTGGCCTCCATTTTTTTGTGCCGAACAACTGCGGCATTTTCTCGTGCATTTGTTTTAATTTATTTGTCAGACGCAATTATTTGCATTTTATTTTACCAAAGTTTCTTTTGGCATTACTACTGCATTTTTTTTTGGCAGTTGTCGTTTGATTTTTTACGCCTGCTGCAACAGCATAAATATAAATCAAACTGCATTTGTTCGGTGTCGTTGATTTGCATTGGGATTTGTTTATAAATCCGCAAACACAACGAAATCGAAACAATAGTTTGCACCTCGCCCCATAAATGTTTTCATAGATATTGCTTTTTAATTGTTCAAATGTGCATATTTTCTTTATAATATTTGATGTTTTTTCTTCTGGCATATGCGGCAGTTGGTAGTCTAATTGAATACCACAGCCAACTAAATGCTATTTTTATTGTTTCCCAGGCTCTTTTTGTGATGACCCCTTTCTTGTTTGGGTGCAGAGAATAGCTTTTATTTCGGGATTTATTTTAAGCAATTAAATAAATTTGCAATTTTCGGTGTTGCTTTGATATAAAATGAATGAATTGTTCGACCATTAACTCAGCTAGTTTTCTGTTTTCATTACCAATTTATTTCCATCAAGTACTAAAGCTTTCATAACCATCGAAAATCAGAGCATGAGCTCAAATCTAGATCAACTTCTCGATGTCCCAATTTTATTATCACTTGCCACAAAAGCCAGGACCAAATCACCGAATCCGAAATTACCCGACATAGGCTTTACCAGATTTTACGACTGCGTCCAACAAAGTCCGTAAATCAAAAGCAGATAATTTTCCAACAGCTTCACTTTCTTGCGACCTCGCCTATCCCACATACCAAAGAACCGGACGACGAAGAAATAAAATAATTGCTCAGTGAGAGAGCCACAAATTATAGAATTTTTACGCTTCTTTTCTCCATCTCTGGGCCACTAAATTTACATACCCCATGACGAGCCACCGCCCACTCAGCTGGACGCACGTTCCAAGTTTTCCTTTATTTATGCCTGCGAAAAGGACGAATTCGAGGGGCCGCGGGGCTGAGGGGCGGGTGGAGGCGCAGGGAAAGTGTGTGAGCACAATTGCGCGTCATAAATTTGAATTATTGTGCTCTTTGCATTTGACAACGACTTAAAAGCACTTGCAGCGATTTGGGCCAGCTCAGTCCAGTCCAGTTCAGTGAGAATGCCGAGGCAGTCAGCCATGAACATGTCCTTGAGACATGTACGAGAGCTGGATGTGGCACTCAGATAAAAACTAAATAAAAGCGGAATTACAAAAATTATACTTTTGATATAAAGCCATTTTTATTAACTTATATATAAGTATATAAAAATATATATATAATAAATCCACCCCGAAAATATTTTAATATAACTTTTATATTTGTGTAATTTCTCGTTTAAGTCTATTCGGAGTTGAAATCGAGAATTGGAAATACAAAATTATATATCATTTAATAATTCGTTTCCGATTCTGAATAAATTTTATAGAGAAAATACTTGACTAATTTCTAAGTGGAATTTTTAACATTATTATCACATTATTAAATGCGACATTTCTTATAACACTTAATCGAAATGGTCAGCTAAGTTAAGTTACAAAATCACATATTTAATAAACAGAACATTCAAAATAAAATCTTACAAAATGAAAATGTAAATACAAAAATAAGAAAATAACAGTTTTGTAAGCTAAATTATATTATATAAATAAATAGAAATTTTATTTTTTCAAAGATGTTGACTGAATATTAGTAAAGACTAAAACTTGAGCAAACCAAGAAATTTATTAAACAATATTGTGAAATTATTATTTTATTATTATTAGATTAAACATTTTTATTTGCTTACATTTTTTTTAATTAACTATATTTAATTTTAAGTAAAAAATACCGAAAGAGAAATAAATAAGGCATGCTTATGTTTTAGGTGTAAAAAACGCCCTTAAGCTTTCTGCCCGTCTTCCTTTTGTTCGTCCTCTGCGTAGCTGCCCAGTTGTGCCACGCCCCCAAGGACAGTAACAACAATGCCAGGGACATTTTTAGTGGACATTTATTTTATGCTTGAAACGCATTGAAATTTGCGCCCAAGGCACCAGCTTTGTTGATGATGAAGTCGGCCATCTCTGTGCGGTGGCCTGTCTTTTGTCAAACCATAAAATATTCGCCCCGCCCACGGTTGAGCAACCAGCCTCAGTTTCCGCTTCGGCTGTCAGTGGGAGCAGAAAAGTGCATTAGCCATTTTAGCACTCGACGCACATTCATCCGAGACCGTACCGAAATCTAGTTCCTAATTAGCCAGAACTGCAATGCCAAACGGCTGCACTTCGGTGGTCTTAAAGTATTCAAGTCTCCTTCTTTGGCCAAATCTCCAGCTCCGTTTATCAACTCAGCTTTGACAAGCAGATGAAAACGGATTAATTCGTCTCTGAATGCGAACTGTGCTGACAGCCATGCCAAAGCCACAAATTGCTCAAGATATACATTCTTGAGCCGCATCAAAAGAAAGCCAAGTAATTTGATATTTTCAGATATATATATATATAAATGCCGCAGGGCAGGCGGATGGGAGGCGTTGAATTGACCATGTTAACAATAAACAATTGACCACATGACATGACAACTAACGAATGTGCTGGCCAAAACTGTTTCCATCAAAATTTTTTACGAAGGTGGAAGGGTCGTAACAGAAATACCTCTTCCTGAATTGGGACAAAAAATTGTCACAGAAATCAATTATTTTTAAATATTTATTATAATGGGATTTTAAAATGTAATTTTAATGAAAAGGTTTAATTTCTAAGTTTTCAAAGAACATTTTTAAAATAATCACACAAAAAATAAAAGTATTAATTAAAAAATTGTTGT